CAGTTGAACAGAGAAGAGTCCAGATCTAGACCCACACAGATATGGCCACTTGATGTCTTGCGACAGGGGCATCTGGCTGGCTCAGTAGGTACATCTAGCATGTCCCTCTTCATCTCAGGAGTCCTCAGTTCAAGCCCCACATTGGGTGTAGAGATCATTAAAATTAAATAAAAAGGGGTGCTTGGCTGGCTCAGTCAGTTAAGGTTAAGTGTCTGACTCTTGGTTTTGGCTTGGGTGATGATTTCAGGGTCCTGGGATGGAGCCCCACGTTGAGCTCCACACTCAGCTTGGAGTCCGCTTGGGATTCTCTCCCTCTCCCTCTGCCCCTCCCCCACAACACACGCTCAGTGTGCTCTTTCTAAAATAAATAAATCTTCTCAAAAAATAAATAAATAGGGGCGCCCCTGGGTGGCTCAGTCAGTTAAGTGTCTGCCTTCGGCTCAGGTCATGATTCTGGGATGGAGCCCCACACATCGTGCTCCCTGCTCAGGGGGGAGCCTGCTTCTCCCTCTCTGTCTGCTGCTCCCCCTGCTTGAGCTCTCTCTCTCAGATAAATAAAATCTTTATTTAGGGGCACCTGGGTGGCTTAGCCGGTTAAGCGACTGCCTTCGGCTCAGGTCATGATCTCAGGGTCCTGGGATCGAGCCCTGCATCCGGCTCCCTGCTCGGTGGGAGTCTTGCTTCTCCCTCTCCCACTCCCCTTGCTTGTTTCCCTCTCTCACTGTCTTTCTCTGTCAAATAAATAAAATCTTAAAAAAAAAAATCTTCATTTAAAAAATAAATAATTTTTTAAAATAATGATTTCTTACAATGGAGCAAAGGCAATTTAGTAGAGGAAGTAGTCTTCAACAAATGGTGCTGGAACAGTTGTATATCCATTTTTCTGCCTATCTCTGGATATAAAGGGAAAAAAGATGTGGTGCTTAGCTGGCTCAGTCAGTAAAGCATGTGACTCTTGATCTTGGGGCCGTGAGTTCAAGTGAGTTCAAGGCCCACACGTGGCATAGAGTTTACTTAAATTTTTTTTAAAAGTACTTTTTTAATTAAAAAAAGAGAAAATAAATAAATTTAAAAATTTTTTAAAAGAGAAACTTGATCTAAATCTCATACCTCATTAAAAAAAACTCAAAATGAAATTTATATGTAAAATGGAAAATTGTAACACTTTTAAAAGAAAATATAGGTGGAAAATCTTCAAGACCTAGTGCTATGTTAACAGTTAGAATACTAAAAGCAAGGGCGCCTGGGTGGCTCAGTTGGTTAAGCGACTGCCTTCGGCTCAGGTCATGATCTCAGGGTCCTGGGATCGAGTCCCGCGTCGGGCTCCCTGCTCCTTGGGAGGCTGCTTCTCCCTCTGCCTCTCTCTCTCTGTCTCTAATGAATAAATAAATAAAATCTAAAAAAAAAAAAAAAACAAAAACAAATTGAAGACCAAATGAAGAAAAAACTACTGAAATACTAGCAAGATATTTGAGCTATTTAAATAAATTATCTGAAAGCTTTCCTGTTTGCCAATAGTAATCTGATGAAATATGATTAAATTCTATTCATATTGCAATAAATATATAAGGATCAAGGTATAACTTTGCTGAGAGAAGTGTGACATTTATAAGGACAAACTCAAAATGGTGTGGAGAGATTCAAAATAGAACTTGTTAAATGTGGTAAGGTAAGGGCAGGGTGGGGCATCTCAGCACTGGACAGTCTAGCGGGGTCCAATGTCAGGACAACGGACACAGGCTATGGCGGGGGGGTGGTAAACCACTTCACCTTTCCAGTCCATGGATGATGGGTGTTTCCTTTGAAGCAGTGATGCCAAGGAATAGAACAGGCAATACCACACAGATGAGCTGATTTATTAACAGAATCATCAGGAAAAGCAAGTTTCCAATATCAAGAGACTGTCCTGAGAAAGTCTTCTAAAACATTTGCTTCCCACCCCTTGCTTCACCATCTTCTTTTGTCACACAAATCCCTCATAAACCATTACTGCAAAACCCACCTACAAGATATGTGCCTTTAAGTTACTAATCTTCTATTTGCCTGTTTCCTCATTTATAAAACAATGGTGGTGATATTACTGTTACACAGACCATAAGGGAGGCATTCTTAGAATATATTTCAATTGCTGTTACTGTAACCTGATCACTAAGGGGTTTAATCAACAAATCATTTTATAGTTTTCTATTTGGATCTGTGATCAATTCTGAATTAACATATAAAGTGTGAGGTTTCAATTAGGGTTCATTTCATCTGCAAATGGATATCCAATCATTCTAGCACTAAATTGTTAAAGACTATCATTTTTTTTTTCAAGATTTTATTTATTTATTTGACGGAGATAGAGACAGTGAGAGACGGAACACAAGCAGGGGGAGTGCGAGAGGGAGAAGCAGGCTTCCCGCTGGGCGTGGAGCCCGATGCGGGGCTCGATCCCAGGACCCTGGGATCATGACCTGAGCCGAAGGCAGATGCTTAAGGACTGAGCCACAGGTGCCCCGACTATCATTTTGCCATTGAATTTCTTCAACTTTATCAAAAATCAATTGGCCATATTTGTGTCAATTTCTGGACACTTCTGTTCCACTAATCTATCAATCCCTTCACCAATACCATACTATCTTAATTCTTATAGCTTTATAGTAAATCTTTTTTTTTTTAAAGATTTT